TTTTTTTATATGAATATACACATAATGTTATACGGAAGTTGTTAATAGTGTATGTATTTATAATGAAAAAAATATAGTTCAACGAATTCTGTAATATACTATATTTTGTAATATAGGTATATAACTTTAATTTGATTAGTAAAGATTAATAAAGAGTTTTAGAACGATTATTCAAACTGTAAGTTAAACATTTATCATGTCCTTATTAGTAGAAAATAAATATCAAAGTGCTATTATGATTGTAAATTCGTTTACTGTCAAACATATATTAGTTGTATGGCATAAAAGGAAAAGAGAAAGCATTCTTCTCTGGCATTATATGAAATGTTTTGTTTTCTAAATATAAATTATTTAACGTACACAATAGTTAATGGTACAATACAGAAGGAGTGAAATTTCAAGATTTAATACATTCAACACGTGATAACAAAGTTTAACTCTCAAGCTGAGAGCAGTAAGTAGTGTGTATTGTTATAATATGATTTGACTATTTTAAATTTCTTACATCTATATACTTTGTCAGGACAAATAAGCAGCTTCAATACACCTATAACATTTGTTGCGTACAATATACAAGCCATTGTACTTTTTTTAGTTTCTTGTATCTGTTTAAAGGAGGATTTGAATCGAAGGGCTACTCTTACCAAAACTTATTGCTACTTATCCACCGATTGCTTTGATTTTGATAGGTATAAATCAGTTCGCGCGAGGATAAATATCGCTCGACACGAAGCCGTAAAATTTGTTTAACAATTAATAATTCTCTGGTTGTTCATGTGTGGTAACAATGATTACAGTAGCTTTAGTGCCAAAAATCCTTCTCCTTCTCTCCCTCTGTCCCCTCTCTGAGTTGTTTCTTTACCGGTATTCTTGAGGAGAGGGGCACTCTTCTTTTACTTAAGGGGTAGACGGGTGGGAAGGCAAGGAAAATCTTATAAGCTAAAATAAAAGCGAAACAAGGCAAAGTCCGTGTGAGTATTTTTTTCAGTCTACAGAAGTACTTAGTAGAGTGGTCATCGTATCACAGGTATTGCCCTACTAAATATTAACAACCACGTCTATTTAATCGTTAGTGCTCTTCGAAATATTATATGCTTTACATCTGACAGATTGTAAGTTTTAAGTGAATATATTATCGCGAGAGATCATTTGAAAGATGAAGAAGAATACCATTCTTATCTTAAAGAATGAAGATAAATGTTGAATTGTCTCCAAAGTGACATCGTTATAGTGTGGTATCGTGTAAAATTTCGGACATTAACGTTGACAAATTTTGAATGATATTATAACAAAAAAAAGATATAACGAAACGATTAGTTCGATAAAATTGGCAATGTAAGAGTATGAAATCGATAAACAGGATTTTTCATATTTACATCAAATTACATCGGCCAGTTATGTTACTTCCGAGTAACCCCATATATATTATGTACTTTTGAAAATATAAATTTGGCGAGACGCTATTAGCAAAATAATATTAGCACTGTCGATATAAATAATATGATCAAACGATCGGTAAATAAAATGTTCTCCTACAATAAATCGATGCAAATCGATGTCACAATCAAACAGTTTGTTGTGTCTCAACGTGACCTGTTTCAATTCGTTAAATATATCTCATTAGCTAAATATATCATTTAGGAGTACCAGTTGTAACATTTTCTTCAAGAAGATTAACAAATATCGATAATCTTAATAAAACATGTGAGTAAACAGTTAATGATCATCAATCTGTAAGAGGTTTCTAGTACGAACTAATAATCGTACGAAGCATTATCTCGTTGGTGACGATAAAAAATATGTACAAAACGCTCGACAATATTTAAACAAAAATTTAATTTAGTCAAAAAGTTATTATTGTTCTTGATATCTTTCGGTAATTATTGGCCGTACAAGAGGAAAAGAAATTTAAAAGAAGGAGGATGGAGAAGTGTGTGTAGGAGAGAATCATTTTGTGCACATTTTAGGTTCAGTTTACTTTTGGAAACGGTGAAATAATATAATGTGGGCAGACGACGAACCAGCACCATGGGATATAGAAGAAACTCCAGAGGAACAACCCGGTGAAGAAGCTGCTGCAGAAGGAGCTCCAGCAGAGGGACAAGCAGCTCCTGGTGAGAAACCAAAAATCAAATTAGAGAAAATAGATCCACCACACTACAATCATCATTGGGTTCGTCCTCTCTTTCTAAATTATGCATATCTGTACGAGTATAGGTAAGTGGTTTCATGAAAAATGTAATATGATTAATCGATTTTTTCGGACGTTCGTTATTAGAAAATAATATAAAAAAATTCGTGTAAATAATATCTTATTAAAACTATGAACAATAAATGTGTAACAGAAGTAGAGTGATTATTTTTCGATGATTTTAAACGTGTAGTGAATTTTGATAATGAATTTAAAGGAAAAAATTCGATAGTATTCATTTGTTATTACTTATTTACTTGCTTAAGTTATGATCACAGGAAACATTTACTTCATTTTTATTTACAAATTGCAATAAACGTATAGCTAGTACTCTTTCGTACTTCTGTAATCTAATTGACGTGAAATTTAGAAAAATTATATTAAGTAATCTTCTTTTTTTTTTAAATTCTAAGTACTTTTAATCCCTTCTTGCAGAAAAAATTATTATGACGATGTGATTGATTACCTGAACCGAAGGCAGAAAGGCCTGTTTCGAGAACCGCCTAGAGCGCAAGAATGGGCTGAACGAGCAATGAGGACTTACGACATGAAGAATACCGATAAGAGTTTCAAACGATCTGCAGACATGAAATATATCATTAATATGAGACATGAACCCAGATATTACAGCTATCATACTCGAGCATATTATAGCTTAAAGTACCAGAAAATTTTGTAAATTTATTTCTTAATAATAAAAATTAATAAATCGGTGATATATAAGAAAAATTGACACGTGCGACGTAGATATTATAAAGTATACTGTATTAATACTGGTGGATATTTATTTCGTGTGTTGAACACTTTCAGGATAAACTTTCGTACTACGAAAATTCAACGAGAATATTTTCTATTTTTCTTCAAATAAACCGAAAACGCAATTTACGTTTAATTTTGCAGAAATACCCAAACCTTTGTTATGTGACATACACAAAGAATTAGTGAAACTGTCAAATATATTTCTGCCTGTTTAAGGTTTATTTATTTATTATTATATCAGGCAATCACGTGGATTCTTTTTTTCTTTTTTAGCCAAACAACATTATTTGTATACTGCCACTGGAAATATTACAAAAATAACTTAATTACTCTTAACCACGCAACGAAACTGCGTTTTTTATCTTTAACCGTAGCAGTGTCTTTGTAACCCTGAAATCATTATAGGCGTAGCAAAAGTCGATTCACGGTCGTATACACACGGCTTAAAAAAAAACTATTTCAAGCTCTGAAAGAATTTGTTCAAATACCTTGTTATGCAATTCTGTAGTCGGTAATAATGTCAACTCACTCTTTTAATAGTACGAGGTTATATGTTAAGAAGACGGTGATGGTAGGTCAAGACACGAGGAGCACACAGTGATTCTTCAAACAAACGACACCTTGCAAGCAGTTCATCTCGTATAAGTCATAGAGAAGAAGACAGTGATATTCGGCACCTCAAACAACATTAGCGACTTTTACGGCACTACGTTTGGTTTTACCACGACACAGGTGAATGTCAGAAAATTTTTTAAACGTGTATTCTTCTCTACGACTTGTACGAGGTAAGGTGCTGGCTATGTATCGTTGATTTTGCAGCATTGGTGTAGGGAGGTTTGCTTGGCTACAGGGATATTGTTAAATAATAATATCTAAAAAACTAAGGTTCCAAAAATTTTGTTGGATATTTTTATATTTTTAAACACGAAGAATTATTCTTTCCTTAATTAATTTTGATATATGCATATATTATAATCGTATTGTATACGTACATAGAGTTTATAGTTGAACCATAAGAAAATCCTAAAACATATTTTCCGAATATATTTTATTGAAATAACGATATTAAATAATATGGGTACATTTTATAATCTCATTATCATATACAAGTATATAGTAATAACTTAAAATATTCACTGGAAACTTCTAAAACGAAACACTTTTCTTTCTTTTCAAAAATTTCCTCTTTGATGGTAGCAATGCACGCGCATTCAATGGGTCAGCGATTTCATTCGATTCTACTAAAGGGTACATTTTATCATGTCTTAGCTTTATAGATTGTGGAGTAGAGGACTCTGCATTTACGTTGGGAACTTTCACGAATTTTATTGTTTTAGGTACTGTTTTCTCTGGAACAACGTCCAGATTGATGAATTTCTTTGATGATATGTCTTCACAATTATCTGTGTTGTCGAATTTCGTTGCATGTCTTTGGAAAGCAATGTCCGCTTGTTCCAGAGTATTTTTAGCTTTCTCGATTTCAGCGTTCAAGTCTAGCACATCGAAGATGCGATCCTGGAAAGAGAAGCTTGCACCAGAGAAAGGTAAAGGATACGATAGATTTATAAAATTCTCATGTATTTTTTAGGCATATTCTTTTCTTCGAATTTAACATAATCTATACAAATTTACATGTACGTCTTTACTTTATGCTACGGTATGATTTCTTTCTTTTCAATATAACCTGCATGTCCCTTCGCCTACGCCTCAAGTCAGCCAAATCTTCGGAGAAAGCAGCAGCTGCGCGTTCCTTATAACGTCGTTGAGAATGAACAAATTCGTCTTCGAAATCATCTTGCATACCTTGATCGTATATATAGTCCAAATCGTCCATGAAATCGTTACGATATCCCGATAGACCGCGAGAACCTAGAATATTCATTCGGACGGTGATACCATACACAAATCTATACAGGGTATTCAACAACAGTTGATACAAAATGTAAAGGATGATTGTATAGAACCAAAGTAAGACGAAAATAACAGAATTGCGTTCGAAACTACGTTTGTTTAGTTGGCTATCTGTCGTTGATTGTGAGGATCGCTTTACCCCCTGTATCTTGACGTGCCCTGTACACGCTGGTGTAAGGAGGGTTGCTAGACCACAGGGATATCTTTAAACGTTAATAACTAGAAAATGAGGCCTCAAACACAATTTTTTTACTCTTGATTTTCGTCTCATTTGATTTGTAAAATCACTCTTCAAATTTTGTATATTTTTTTCACGAAAATAGTTAATGAATAGCAGCTTTAAAAGTATTTGTATTTCTATTAAAAAAACTCTAACATTTAGACGTAATACTTTGAACAATTTTAACTAAAAGATATTCCATGGAGTTATTAGCAAGTGAGAATGATTCAACTTGTTAATCTAAAACCTTTGAGATACATATTAGAATGAAGCTGTTATATAGAAGTGTTGCGAATAATGTTTTATTTCATGGTTTTGCGTGTGCGTGCGTGTGAGCATGTGATTGTTTATTCAATTCGATCAGTCGAGTCTGTTTATTCGTTATACACACATCCTAAAATGCAGAAAGGAGAATAAGTGTGTTTTTATCGTATAAGTAGCATATACATAAACGAAACTGTTCACAGCACAAATGAAAAATTGTGTAACATTAGCAACAGGGAAATACTTTCAAGCACATGATTAATTATACAACATAAAAACGTACTGTACATTTACGGCATAGTTAAATACCGAAATTTATTTACAAATAAGATAGGGTAAAGATACATACAATAACGTCGGGAAACATCTTTCTTCAGCATGTGTTTTCTTTCAAACATTTCTTCTTGGTGACAATGGGAACAATGTAAATAGAATAAACTTTCTGTGTAATTTCACATGGATAATGTATGTATTTTTTGTTTTTACAAAGAATTTATGGAGATGAGGTGTTGGATATTCAATGATATACATATGTGTACAAGTATATTGAATATAATTTGTGCTCCTTACGTCCCAAAATTTTAATTAGGAACCATTAATTAAAACTGGAAGAATACAAAGCATTCCTTTATTATTATTTTTCAACGAATAGAATTTAAGGTAATTTACGTTAATAATTAATTTTAAACAATAAACTTTAAGATCGTTCAAATTATTTTAACGAATAAATGTACGTAACGGAGCCTGCTTATTATGAATTACATCTGGGTATAAAATAAACGATAATCCAATTGAAATTATATTTCCATGATACTTCTAGTGTATTTCTATTACATTAACAATTTTGTACAAACATCTGTATCGTTTGTGGAACGAAAAATATTATGCTATTGCTTTCAGATATCACACTTATACATCGGCAAGTGGAAAATAAACGATATGTAACGCACAAACATATGCACAGGATCATCAGGAACAAATAACATTAAATCGAGCGAAGCTCAATCGTGGTAAATAGACAAGATTAGATTGATACGAACATCGTGCAGGTAATTTGCAATATATGCAAATAAATCGATTTAAAAAGGAACGTGTTTCTCTGAGCGTTCACTGCTGCGAATAGAGACCGACTTCTTGCTGACGACAGATTTCTTCTGCAACGACGACAGATTCTCCGCATCTGTGCTACTTTCATTGATCAAAGCTCTGAGCGCTGCTGCCCTGCGTTCTCGTTTCGCTTGTTTTTCAGCGAGCTCTTCCATTTCCGACTCGAGGTCGTTTAAACGAGCTTTCGTTTGCTTGGCTCTTGTCGCAGCAGCACTCACTGGTACCAAACTGTCGTCATCGTTGATCAGTCTCGACCATTTTGTAAGCATCGGTTTAGTCTCGTCCATTGCGTCTATCTCGTCGAACAGCTTGGATCGCCTCTTGAAACTGGCTTCTGCCTCCTTGCTGATAGACGACACATCTTGTAGGTTCTTCCTCGTGCTGAGATCCTCCTCCTGTCGTAGGCGACGCGGTCGTCCCAACACGGCGTCCACTTCCTCCTCCAATCCAATGTTGGCCAGTTTTGCTTTGAGATGCTGTGTCGTCGCGGTAACATCGTTGACGAAATTTTCTGCGAATCGACGCCGACTGCGCTGCCCACGGCTATTGTAGACAATATCCTCGTCTTCGGAAAACAGATTGTCGGTGGCCAGGGAGGGTAGTGGTAATTGGGGGCCGCGAATCGAGGGGTCTAATTCGAGGTCAAGGTCATGGCCAAGGGAACTGTTGCGAGGACCGGAGAGGTCACGCGAGCCTGTAAAAACCGATATCTCAGGATACATGTAGACAGTTAGAGAGATGCCTATATTTGAAATGAAAAACGAAACTTCTACGTACAGAATCTATCATGTTGTTACAATATGTATAATTGAGAATCGCTTGTTGCTCTGTGTTATTTGGCATAAAAAGCGTCCAACGAACAATATTGTTCATCGTCCATTTTTATTCTATCCTAATGAGACTCGATTTGCATAAACAAGGACGTTGGTGTATGTAACAATGTTCAGTTTATTATGAGGGATTACCTTTCAATCTAGACGTTTAATAGACAATTTTAACGTTTAAACTATTTAATGCTTGTCATTCACTATTCGCGTTCAATATTCCTTCGAAGAAGTTGATTTGAGAAGGGAAAAAAGAATTTGTATCGTGTGCTTACGTGTGTACACTAACACTTACATCGAACACGAAGGAATGATAAATTTTAAAGATTTCAGGAGATTTCGATAGATTAATATGCTCATTGGCGATAATGATTGTATCATTTCTTTCAAATTGTTTGCCTCGCTTGTTGATCAATGGAAATATTCAAGTTTCAAAATTATGGTCCCTGTTCTCTTTCGCTTTTACTTCACGTTTATTATCTAACTTTGTAGTTTCTGCAACAGAAACAGAAGTTGAACGAAATTTACATGTTTCGTGTTCATCTCAATGGATTCATTTGATGTGTTGTATTTTTTCTAATGCAACGTGCACGAACAATTCGAAGAAACCCAAAGCTAACAAGACGTAACAACAACATTTTATCTAATATACAAAATGATACAACAATTAATGCAGCAACTACACGACAGACCATCACATTGCTTACACACAGTAGGAAAATTTCAAGCAAAAATATGTTCTGTTCGTGAAAAGATCAAAACTACTCCACTCGTTCATGTTTTTACACGAGGAAGAAAAAAGAAACGTGTGTGTAATTGTAAAAAGCAGAAATTTTTACTATTCGTGTCACAGGATACAATAAATCATTAGACGATGCAGCTTTATGTTACGGTTTTATTTTATTTATTTACTAGCGCCAAAATTTCTTTGCGATGATTCTTTTTAACCGAGGGAAAATTTCTTTCGGTTGTAACAATAGATGTATGTATAAAACGGTACATTTGGTTTTGTTTCACAATTAGGACTTGAGCAGGATCGAACATGCCACTCATTAGAATACCAATAAGAGCGAAAAATGAATTTCAGTGTTGAGCTTTCATGTTTGAGAAGAGTTGTTACTCACTACTATACGTTTGTAACAGTTAAGGAAATAGGGAAGAAGGATGTGTTCACTCCTTAAAACCATTTTGGAAAACGATTGAAGATGTTACCGATGTCGCCTCGTCGCGCTGCAATCTCGTCAGCTATCGAAGTTCTTGGTTCAGAAAACAATGGCCGGGAACAGTACTTTCGATCCAAATGATCGACCATTGGTTTATAATACGATTCTCCTTTGTCATAATTGCATCCGTATACACGCGTGCGCGGCCTGCTGAGAATTGGCCTCGACATCTCGATAACAGTTCTTCCTTCGCTACCTGAAATTCCACCCAGCAATATTATCAACGCTAATTCATTCCATATCGATGAATAAAATAGTCTACGGACATTACAGAATTCATTCATAAATTCTTCTTTTACTACCTCTATCGAAATGGTAACGAATATTTCAATTATCCACTGTATTTCACACGATTTTCGCATGTCAGTGGCTAAGGAGTATTACGAATGCATTTTATGCACGAAAAATGCATACTTGCGACATTCGAAACAATTCGCAATATTCTGTTATATCAACAGTTGATATGTAGAATATAACATTATGTCCAGTATTATATAGTTCCTATGACATCACATCGTACACGCAGCTATACTTTGCATAAATTGATTCATTTCGTTATTCTATATTGTATAAAAGTATTCGACGAGGTGATTGAAAAGTCACTTTACGAGATATTCGAGATTATATGTCAGAAATGTATTTTATTATAGTAAGTATCTGAATGTTCAATATGAATTCGAAGAACTGCTGATATCGTGCTTACTATTTACATTTCGTAACATTTGGATATACATTTCAATTAGTTAATCATTACTTATCAGAAAGTATCACACGGAAGATATCTGCGTAACGAATGGTTTGCCGTCTTTTGAAATGAAAGTTTGAATTAAAATACGCTGTTCAAATGTGACTAAACATCAGCTGAAAGATATTATGAAAAACATACAAGTGAACGTGTGAGAAAATTTGTAGGGTGTAATGGTGGAACATTTGAACACTTATTGAAATAAAGTATTCTTTTCACATAAAGTATCAAGTATATATTGTAAAGAATAATGAAAATAATAGATTTATGCAAAGAAAGGTATCATAGAAAATTAGTTCTCAGTGCGCCATATCCTGTACGAAAATCACCCTGTATACACCGTTCCTAACAATAAGTAAAAACGATTGCTATACATATACAGAGTGCTCGGTAACTGTTGGTAGAACATTTAGAGGGTGATATTAGAAACAGATGTAAGACGAAAATCAAGAATAAAAAAATTTTGTTTGAGGCTTCGTTTCGTTAATTATTAACAATTAAAGATATCCCTGTGATCGTGCAAACCTCTGTACACCGACGTATATATGGCACGTCAGACACGAGGAGCGCAGAAAAAGGAACAGTGACATTTGGCTCAGTAAACGATATTACCGACTTCCGCGGCACGACGTTTGTTTTATCACGACACGGGTGAGAATGTCAGAAAGTTCTTCAAACGTGTATTCTTCCCTACAACTTATACGAGGTAAAGTGCTGGCCATATGTCGTTGATTTTTAGTATCACTGTACCGCCTGTGTAATGACGTGCCCTATATTCGTTGGTGTAGGGATGTTTGCTCGATCACAGGGGTATCTGTAATTGTTAATAATTATAAAGTGAAAGCTCAAACGTAATTCTGTTATTCTTGATTTTCGTCTTATTTTGGCTTGTAGAATCATCCTGTAAATTTTCTACCAACAGTAACTACAATAAAGTGGAAGGCAGATTGCCAAATTGTGTTAATTTCAGTACAATCACGTAATTGGCAATGCGTAGCAGATCGGGTTTATTTCTTGGAATCCGATTAGTCAGCGAATCGTACGACTAATTTTGGTGAAATTAAACTGCAACAAAATTAACAAGTTCGGAAATAAAACACCACAAAGGGAGATTCTTTTTCAGAAGTATTCACTATTATATTTTTAGTACGATGTTTCGATTTTTCAGATAGATTTTCAAGAGAAATAACGAAGAAAGAAAAGAAATATGAATCGAAGAAAAATTCACGAACAAATTTATTTATAATATTACAATTAGAAGTATAACGAATCAATACCAATTAACTAGTCTGGAATATATTTATAATTATATTTACAATTGTTTTCCCTTTCGTAGTCAAGCCCTTTAAATAAAAATTTGGAAGGCCGAATGTTCCCCATTCGATTTTGCTATAGGGTCTCTAATACGGGTAACCAGTAAATTGGAACAAGCAACTATAAGTTGCTCAAAAATAGACCATGTCTAATTTGGTGTCCGTGAACTGAACTGGCACACCGTACTCTCGAGTCCCGGACAACCGCCTCCAATTACAAACTATATCACACTCTATTGTTCGCCTTTTACAATCATTTCTTTCATACTTCAATTTTGCTATCTAATCCCTTTCCCCACTTTACAAAATATTTACTTCTTTTTTTACAAATTCAACAACTAAAACCAAAAAGAAATATTACATATTTCCCTTTTAATTTATTTTGAAGAAAATTGTCGAAGGATGAAATATTTATTGTACAATTTAATACCGTGATACTAACCGATTAAATGGAATAAATTCAATTTTTTATCAGTTCAGCAACAGAGAGAGATATATAAACTTGTCATAAAGAATAATCTTATCCGAAAATAACATTTAAAAAAAAATAACATTGTTCAAATAAATGGAAAGAAGACATTTTTAATCAATGTTGATTAATTACAGTAACTTTATTCTCTCGTAGCTAATTCATATTTAATTCGTACGTATAAATGATATTTTCTCTGAAATAGTGATATGATTATGTTTGATACTCTCGTAAATACATATGGACATCTTCTAATTTGAAGTGTTTCGTATTTGTCTACAATTTGCTGAATAATAATCAGGAAATTATGATCTTTCGATGGAATCGTCTCTTTAGAAATCAATCTCTTTTTTTATTTTAATTGACACGTATAGCTAATTGTTACATACTGTTTAACAAACATAAACATTCAGAATTCAGTTTAAGTAATTTCGTAACAGTAATATGAAGAGAAACTGAAAATTATGTAAAATATATTAAAAGAATGCAAGTTAGTTATATAAAGTAACTTATCTGAAATGTTAGTTCGAAAGCAGTTCCGGGATGGTTAAAAAAAATATTTTAACAATATGAAAACATTAAAAATAATTGCGCTCTAATCCAGTTTAAAAAAATTATGTTGCATTGTTTTGTGTATCCAAAAGGAAATGAAAAATTAGGGAAGTTTTTATGTATAAGAAACGTGAAAATATATGACAAGATCGAACATTGTTATAGCTTTAGCGTCATGTTACAGAAAATACACAAGGAAGTGAAAAATAGATTTAAACAGTACGCTGTAGCAGATATCATAAATAGCACACGAAACGTGCGTACATTTTAGAAAAATATCAGTGAGCTTAAATTAAATTAAATTCAAGTTTAGTTAACATATAAAATAATATTTCACTGCAGTATTCTCATGTTATTCGATAAATGTATTGAATACAGTATACTGACACAACAGAATTAAAATTTCACCCCACTTTTTAATATTTTCTTTCGCAGCAAGAAGTTACGCATCAGAAGAAAATATGTAATTAAATATTCAAGTTAAAAAATTATTTTCGTTATGTTAAACACATTTGTTATCATTGATTAAATTATATTTATTTAATCATTTTCCAATAAATCATATGCTTATGGTTTCACCGTGAAATACGTTAAATTTGCATATAAAATAGAATTAATGTACGTACTTAGTAAATGAAGTTAATAAAGTGAGTAAAGTATAAGTAAACCTTTATAGTGTTTATGGAACAGTATTATTTTATATGAAATTTTGCATAAAAGCGTAAATGTGTGGCAACAACACGATGTACGTAGATTCGATACGAAATTAGATATTTAATGCGTCTTAACAGAAACATTTGAAACAGTATTATCGTATTGGCATTAAACGAAACCAAAATAATTTGTGTTATTGTTATCATCGTCATCGTCATTATTATTCTGTTATCGTTTACGCTGCCATTCGTCGAAATTTCCTAAATGTTTCATAATTTAAGAAATTACGAGACATTTTCTTTCTTCGTTTAATGGATAAATAATCATTAGAAATTTAATTTAAAATTAACGATACATATGTATATTCACAGTCACTATGCGTTCGTTAACACGTTACGTAAGAACTGCCAAATTTAGCTTGCAGACAGTTTTAAAATGATGATATCGATTTCAAAATCACTTCGATTGAACTATTTCCCGCATTTCTCTCAATGAAAGTACATATTACGAATTAACTGGAGACTTTTTTCGTTTTGATGAAATACTACCCACATTTTAGGGAACATCTTACGTACTTTTCGAGAATGTTGAAATGATTATAATCAAACACGCCAAATTTTAATCGTGCTATAACAAAATTATTCAAAATAGTGAAATGTGGTTTCAAGAATCGAAAAAAAAAAATCTTGAATTACGTATGAATTTGTATTAGTATAAAAAGAGAGACATAGAAATAGTGCATTCCTTTAATTGTGAACGGAATTTATTTGCCAAAATGTGCATAAAAAAAGAGTAATTAAAATAGTACAATGTGTAAACATGAAAACGGTGCGATTAAAAATGAAAATTATAGTGGAGGAAAAATTGAAAAAAAATAAAAGCGATAGGGAGCAGCATTTCTGTTTCGTGCGTGTTTACTGATTGTAACTTTAGTCAGCCTCGCAATATCGTAAAATCAAATTTTACAAAATTAGTAAAATATAAATTATAGTGATAATATTCACGTCACACATAGATTCTTTTCATCAAAGAACGTATTTACAATGCGTTAAAAATTACTCAAACAAATCGATTTAATCTCTGCTTCATAATAAGTACGCGAACATACATAGACATAAAAAATCCACGTAAGTAACATAGAAAAAATTGCAGTATTTTGTACCTGAACTTACAAGGTATCCTGTAAGGTGCTATTTCCTCGGAAGTAGCGACACGACTCTCACAGACGTTACAACGCCCGCTATTTCCCACTCCTTTCAGCTTCTACCCCTTCTCTTTTATAGTTCCTCATTCGTGTGACAAGTATTTCCTGCTAATTTACTTATACACTACATGAAAACGTTTCTTAATCGCTTTCAATCTCTATTATCTTTAGCGAATGTTTATTTTCAGCATTTTCTGTCACTTCATTCGATAGCGTAAGAATAACACTTCATAATTCACATGAGTTAGAAAAATCACTTTTATTAGTTCTTTAATGCTTCATGCTCATATGTTTCATAAAACTGACTAGCTCAATATCAACAAACAAGTATGTAATACACAATAGTATGTAACAAAGTATGTGCAAAGTACGTAACACAAAAAGTGACTTTAAAATATACTTTTTGATATTCAAGATGTAGTACTAACAAAGTTATTTTTATTGTCAACGAACGACGATGTTAAAAATAAATATTTCTCATTCAAAAGGAAGAAGCATAAATGAATTTGTTAACATGTGGTATATGTATACGTAGTGCTATACTTTTGAATATCCTCTAGAATTAGTTCATGACTAAACTAAAACGCCTTTGAAACTTAATACGTGGCATTTTACGTGCTTATTACTAAAAGAGAACACGTATTGTGATAATGCATATATTGAATACCTATTAATAATCATAGACTATTCAAAGAGAGTAATGCTACTAGTTGCGTATGTATGTACATATGCACAGAAATGCGCAAATACAGTAAACATTTATTGTAAAGGAATCCTTAGAAAATGTATTAATATTTTTTAAGATTTAAAAAAGTAAATAGTAAACATATTGTTGTTATTCCTAAATAATAAAAATAGTTTTCTACACTTTAAAAAATTACTTATAAAACCTAGAAATTTCTAATAGAAATGAAAAAAGTATGTCACTATAGACCGACAGCCACCGTTTCCGCGCCGCGAAAATCGGCACGTGGTTCATGTATTATCGACTGTTGTTCATAGAAGAGTAAGTGCGATAACCTTATTTTATCGTGATTGGCTGACCACCAGTGAAGACGTAAGCTTTATTCTATTGCTATTGGCTGATTAACAGCGAGATGTCATAATTTCTCTTGCATCTTTCACTTCTGGACACTAAGTCCCACTAGAAGCACCATCTTTGGTTTTCCGATGTTTATATTAATGTATTATTTTATAAGATTAATTTTAAATGCATAGTTTTCTATTTTCACTAAATTTTATATTCTTTTGTGAGTGTAGATATTGAATTTTAAATTAACCAAAATGCTTCAGCGAATATTATTTAAAAAAGTATTTCGTCGTTCAACAAAAAGTTATTGGTTAACTCAAATCAAGCAAATGTCAAATAATGCAATAAAGAATGAGAATAGTAATAATGAAGTATCAAATATAGATGAATCTATGAGAGATTCTTCTCATTCTTCATATAATACAGAAGAGGTATTATATTTGCTTAAGGAAGCTACAACATTCAAAGATGTAAATAATAATGATTGGATGACTACTCCATATCCCAAAGGTGTTTCGCTACATCAAGAAGAAAAAAACACAGAATATACTGATCCAAGTAATACTAGTGTGTTATTATTTCCTGGTCAAGGCACTATTAAAGTTGGATCAATTAAAAAATATATTCACTTTACTGCTGCTAAGGAACTCTTTGAAATAGCTAATGAAATAGTTAATTATGATTTATTGAAACTTTGTTTAAATGGTCCACAAGATAAATTAAATAGAACTGAATTTAATCAAGCTGCTACAGTCATTTCATCCTTAGCTGCATTAGAAAAAATTAAAGCAGAAACTCCTAAAGTGTTTGAAACTTGTATTGCTGCAGCAGGATATAGTGTAGGAGAAATAAGTGCTTTAATTCTCTCTGGTGCTATAACTTTTGAAGATGGAATTCGATTAGTATGGGCTAGAGGAAAAGCTATGCAAGAAGCTGCAGATAAAGTACCTCAAGGAATGGTATCTATAACTTGTTTACCAAAGGCACAAGTTGCAAAAGCTTGTGAAGAGGCAAGGAAATGGGCAATGGATTTAGGTGTTGAAAATCCAGTATGCAGGTAATACTTCTTTTTTCAAAATCTAATCTTATAAGTAGTATAAAAAATTATATACTTTTCATATCAAGTTTATTGCATAATTGAATGCTTGCAGAGTTGCTATTTATTTATATACAGAAAGAAAAATATTAGCAGGAAATTTGGAAGCACTAGAATATATTGAAAAGCACCAAACACAATTTGGTTTAACTAATGTGACTAAACTACCTGTATCAGGAGCATTCCATACGCCACTGATGGAACCTGCCTTGAAATCAGTTTTTGAAGTGCTAAATACAATAGAAATAAATGAACCTCGATGTAAAGTATATTCTAATTATAAAGTTCACCCATATACAAATTTAAGGTTTATGAAAAAGTACATACTGAAACAAATTGTTTCACCTGTCAAATGGGAACAATGTTTACAAATGATATATAACAGACCTGATGGAACACCATTTCCACAAACATATGATATAGGGTCACAAGGAAGAATGAAAAGCCTTTTAAAACTAGTCAATGCAAAAGCATGTAGGTCATGTGTTGTAATTTGATCTATTATTGAAGCTGCTTTAAAATAAACAAATATCAACTTATGATTTTTCTCAGTTTTTTTTACTTTATTTTTTCATCAAAACTTCATCAAAATTAAGGAGGAATTGTTATGTGTCAGCTCTAAGAATAACTGTTACTTATGAATTATTTTTGAAAAACCATTTATAATATTGGATTAAATTTTGTTCAAGATGGAAGAAAGTATTTTTGAATTGAAGATAAAAAATTTATTATTTACATTTCTTTTGATTATTCTAATTATTTTTACATATTTTATTAACGCTTTCGACGATGCAATTCCTATTGGCGTCCCATGTAGTACCTGTCATAGTCATCTGATTGCAACAGAAAAGTTTCTTGTTAAAGATAGATAGTTTATGCTGGGATTGAACCTAATTTAAAAAGAAGAAAAAAAAGTTGCAAAATGTATAGCGTGTTAAAGAAAGTTAACCTTTTTTATAGGATAAATTTTACTTCATATCGATGAAAAAATTGTTCTAAATAATTAATATGATCAAAATTTTACTCCGTTATTTTTGCGAATTTGACTTTCAAATTTTGGGAATATATTTTTGAAGTATTGTATTATTAATTTACGGAAAAACGAAAAATCAATTTTTTGAACCTGTCACTCAACAATCCGCCCTTAACATGTTAAGTATTGAAACAATGGTCATCTAAATGATTCCAATAAACCATACAGACTGCACAATTTTTATGCTTATCTTTAATAATTTCTGAGAAAACACCTTGTAACACTATGTGATATACCCTCTATACCCTCTATACCCTCTAAGTACACAGTACATTTATAAAAAACTATAGATACTGTAAAACGAATATCTTTTTCAATCATAATACATTTAAAACATTATAGTTAATTTAAAATGTATTTTTAAAATAATAAGTAATAATCAGTTGCTATGGAAAATCTATTATAAACTAAAGCATGCATCTTAGAATAAATTGTATATCGTCATACATTTTATTTCATTTTAACCGGAAACAAATTTAATACATTTTTTGATCCTATAAAAACCAATACATATGACTGGAACTTTATTATTTCATTAAATTATCCTTTCGCACTAATAAAACTTAAAAATTTTACAACAATATTTTTATGACTTATTCTTAATTAATTTTTTTTTAATGATTTTACTTTTTTTGTATTACTATTGAATTTAGCAAGTACAATTTTATGCGAGATTCATAATTTATTTTATTTGGTATTTGTGACAAAAAGTGTTATTATTTTGATCTATAGGAATGTTTGGAACACAAATGTGAAGGTTTTGGAACACAGTAAACAAGCATAGCGTTCTGTGTAGTTATTGGAAGTAAATAGCGGCATGAAACTAAAATTATAATTTTATTGTAACATAAACGTGACATTTAGCAATATCATGAGTATATTAAAAATTAACTAATTTAAAAAATATTTTTAACGCTATATAGCATGACACTAAATCTTTTGTTTAATTTTCTAACTCAAATTGATTATACTTGTTATGTAATTTTTATATTAATTTTAGATTTTTAATGAAACTCAGTCATGAGACTGTAACAATAGAATTAAAAAATGGTACTCAAGTACATGGAACCATTACCGGTACGTCAACATAACCTATAAAATATTTATTGTATTTGAATCTATTTTTCATTCATGATTAATGAAAATAATGTGTTACGTTTATTTATAGGAGTAGATGTAGCAATGAACACACATTTGAAGACAGTAAAAATGACAATAAAAAATAGAGATCCTGTACAATTAGATACATTAAGTTTACGAGGCAATAATATACGATATTACATATTACCAGATTCATTACCACTTGAAACATTACTCATAGATGATACACCAAAGGCAAAAGCAAAAAAGAAAGAAGCTGCACGAGGTTTGTAATAAATATTTATTATTATCACTAATTGATAAATACAAATAGTTACTTATATTGTAAATGTATATAAATTTCATAAGAATAGAAATTTATCCAACTTTAGTTGCACATTGGTATGTATCTAAGTAAAGTAATTCTTCTAATTAATTCATAATGAATCATTTAAATTAGAAATTAAACAAATGCTATGTTATGCTTGATATATTTAAACAAATGTTTATATTTTTAATAACAATAGTAGTAAAATATTTTATTTTTATGAATTGTTATGTAAAAAAATCATACAGATACTATGTTTATATTTATATTATTTGTAGGAGCGGCACGTGGTCGAGGACGAGGTGGTCGTGGTACGAGAGGAGGCCGTGGAGGACGAGGAAGAGGAAGGGGTAGACGATAGCCGTACATTATTATGATATATATGATTAAAATAATCTACCCAATCTTCTGCATCTTACAACAAATTTACATAATTATTATATAACATGAATATAATTCAATAAATTGTTTTTCTAACTTACCATATTATATTCTACTGCATACTTTTTTTATTACATTGAAAGTATATATAGTATGATTGCATAATAAATATATTTAAAACTGTAAACACAAAGATAATACAAGCATGATCTGAATTGCATCTTACAAAGGTTGATGATATTTGAAAAGTTGAATTATAAAATTTTAATTTCTATGTAAACAATTTTCTTTTTATAAACATTTACAGTAAATAAATGAAAAGTATAGGTTCAAGCTGAACGAATTATACTTTCTTCTCTTTCTTTTTATTTTTAATAAAACTTTATACATTTATTTGTCAAGCTTTACAATTATTGTCATTCGTTTATTTAAATCTTTATCTAATATCTCAAATTAGAAACATATTGATGGAACTTTATATAAACAGAATAAAATATTTCTACCAAAATAACTAAATATAAAAAATTAATGATTGAAAAATAACGTAACAGTCATAATCAAAATACACAAAGAATAAGTCATTTCATTAATTTTTAGTATTTTTTATGTAATATTCCTAATACGATCTTGTATGTACTTATGTATTATTCATTGTAGGTACAACCTTAGAATTTAATGATGAAACATGCACGCGATGTATGTAGATAGTACCAAGAGAAATGTTTCTAATATTATTCTATTATCTGTATCCACTGCCACCAGTTTCACCTTTAAATCTTCATCATGTATAAAACATGAAATGAAGTAGTATCTCTTTTAAATGTCTTAATCATTCTTCCGAATTTGTATAAAATATTTGAAAGTTTTGTGTAAAACTATAGTGTGCCTTAATATTTTCATAAAATCGGTAAGATCAACTGCACGTTGTATTGGTAGACCGTTTATACATAGCTCTATTTTTGATTCGTTGAATATTTACTTTATAATATTATACTTGTTGACAAAGTTTACCATTCCAAAAAAAAGTAATGTTTTAGTGATTATGGAAAATCAACAACTTAACAAAAGGAAAATATTAATAACACAGATTTTACAATGGTTTACAAAATATATAATATTGATATCTAATTATCTCAATTATTTTACTTTACTGATTGGTTAATTGGTAAATTTTTAAATATATACATTAAGTTGATAATGTACAAAATTTAAAGTGTTTTTTTAAGTTGTCAACCCTGCTCATTCTCAGTTTGATAGTTTGCAAATGTATGATTAAGATTCACTGTGTATTGTGTTAGCAATAATAATTACGATAGTATATTGCTGTACTACTTGTTTTTAGTTTATTTTAAGTAATTAGTTGATTTAACAATGTTCAAAAATTCTTTTAAGAATTGAAACAAAAATAGAATACGCTGTAAAATTGATATATTAGAATTCATTTTGGTTAACACGAACATTTCTTAAAATATTTTGTGTAGCCAAGTTTTCACGTGCTTTTTTTTGTTTACTTATCTATTTATTAGCAAAGATTAAAAATTATAATAATTATTTTCAATGTATTTTGGAAATAAATTAAAATGAGTAAAAAACGTAATCGACAACCAAGTGTGAATGAAGAATTAAGTGAAGGTTCAACTGATTTTTGCGATGTTTGTAATACTAATATTGTAGGTTAGAATTTATTTTTTGCAAGAGTATTTTAAAATCTTATTTATTTTTTACACCTAAAAAGAATATATTTTCAAATTGTTTACATTACAATAACTTACTTTATTAAAAATGATATTTTAGAAAACCAGTTAATGAATACTTTATCACACATTTTAATTTAATGGTCATTTAAAGATTGATTTTTTTATTTATTATATTTTTAAATAGATTGTTATGGTATTTGATGATATAATAAAATAAATGTTTCTTTGTTGCATATTTGACTATAAAATGTAAGAAAAGAAAAATTATCAATATAATATTAATGTTTATAGGTAGCACATGTCCACATATTCCAAAGGCAGTGAATTTTAATAAAATTAAGAAACGCATTAAGAAAGTTGGAATTAGTACTGAGTGTTCAATATGTAAAAAGTGTAAAGATAATGACAAGGTATAGATATAAAAAGTTTAATTTATCTAATTTTTTTAAATATAATGGGTACAAATATTCTGAAAACCATTTAAAACTTCAGGAATATGTAATAAAGTCAGCTACATTAGTTTGTTTACAATGTGGTCATCAAGGTTGTGGAAAAATAGATTATGGACATGCTTTAGTACATTATAAAAAGGCACATAGTGATCATCATTTTCTGGTAGTTGACACTGATTACTTGAGTGTTTGGTGTTTTTATTGTCAAACAAAAGTTAATATTAGAAGTGGGTATGTATGAAAATAAGTTTATAGTTTAAACATATACAGTAAAAAGCATAAATATTAAGAAAATTATCCATATTTAAAAAAATTAAACATTCAACTTCTTATGTTATGATTTTTTAGTAGTGTCTCAAAGTTAGCTATTTATTATTTGTACATTGTACTGATACAAATATTGAAATATATGTAACTTGTATTTAGCAGTCTTTGACTTTTTAATGTAGACCTGAAATTAAAGCCCAAATTAAGTTAATATTAAGTTGAAGTTCAAATTATGAACATAACTTTTATTTGTCATGTTTGAAATATAATTTGTATCATAAGTTATATAATGTAAAGGTTTGATTATAGTATGTAAATTATGTTTTGTACAAGAAAAATATAAATATGTTATTTATAA